GACATGAGTGCAGAGAGGGAAGACCCACAACCCAGATGTAGTATTTCTCCTCAGTTCATCCATGCATGGAGTTAGATGAAGATTATTGTATAGTTCACCAAAATATCATACTTACTTGGCTAGATTATAATGTAAGATTATCATTTATGTTTCATAAGTGGAAGTTTTACCCATAATGGGGGATTAGAAGTAGGATATACTACAGTAAATTGTAAAAAGATGTAGGTCTAGTGATGATAAAGAACCAGTGTTTGTTGCTACTCCAGAATGGTATGAAAATCCATAGTCTTTAAATCAAGAGTGTGAAAATATGACAAAGACAAATCCTACTTTATTTTTTCTTTGGTGATCAAACAACTTCAATAGCAGACGGTTAGATGTGCGGACATGACATACTGCTTATTGAACTACCTAATCATTTGCCTTAGTGAGAATGAGGATACCAATGACCCTGATGTATGGCGAAATGGATGTAGATAAATTTGATGAAAAGGGAAAGCAAACTCTTAGCATGAAGCATTAATATGAAGTGGGTCCACACGTTTATTTAAATCCAATAGTACAACCAAAAGTAATTTCCCATCAATTCAAAGGTCAGGATGAGATTAAGAGTGGAGTGGAATCAATTTTAGCTGTGGATTACGATTAACAAAAATGTGGAAAAGAATAACTATATTTATTATAGCCATTCTTAGTTACATTTATGAGGGCATTTAGGTTATCATTAACTATATGCGTATGTGCTTGTTTATATTTCACATTTCCATTGTTATGTTTTCAACAGTTTTTAGCTGTGGTTTACGATTAACAAAAATGTGGAGTAGAATAACTATATTTATTATAGCCATTCTTAATTATATTAATGAGGGAATGGAGGTTATCATTAATTATATGCGTATGTGCTTGTTTATATTTTACATTTCCATTGTTATGTTTTCAAGCGTTTTCAATTTTACTAGGTTATCCACAGTTGGTCATAAGGATTCTTTTCTCAACTTTGAATGAGGGTTGTCATTCAAATAAAATGAGTAGCAGTCAAACAGGTTTTCCCTTCTATACTACACTAACTAGTCCACACACAGGATGGTTTGGAAATTTGTAGCCTCATCTGAAGTTATTACAATTTGTGTAATGGGTTTGCTTAGTTGCACTCCAGGTTTCATTAATACAGGTTGACATTTACTCATGGGAACATGTTAATCAGGATTGAAAAAGGGGATATGGGAGAGAAAAAGGTTATTCACAGTAAAGAAAAGTCAGAGTGACCTGAACATGTTGATTGATCTTAAGTCTCAGGGAATATTTTGTGCCACGGTGTTTTGGCAAAGGCAGGGTGTTATTAAGATATGTTTGGGAACTGAAAACATCTGTGATGGTTGCTGCTGAACTTGAGAAGGGTCATAATGGCATTCACCAAACACACACAAGTGAAGAGGGATGCTAATTAAACATTGTACAATCTGAAAGAATGTGAAAGAGCTGGAGAGATCTGCTGTTTTTGTTCGTATTGTATACTGTTCTGAATAAACTTTCCTGCCTGTAGAATTGAGGGCGATTGACATGCTCATCACTCCATTCATGAAAATCCTACAACATAAACGGTTTAAATTGAGAATTTCTGGTTCATTTGTCCTCGATAAACCAAAAAGTTAAAACCCCACCAACATCTACCTGAACTTGTGATTTCAAATATACCATTTCAAGTTCTGAGAACTGACATCCCAAAGATGGAGACGCATCATCCGGTTGCTTGAGTGAAAATGAACATCTCACAGTAAGCCATGACAGCTGGGGGTGACACAAACATAGTTGAGAGTCAGTGAAGAGTCAGTGAGGTTGATGGAACAGGGATCCAAAACATGTATGCAGCAGAGAGGGATGGAGAATGGATTGCAGCAGTCTGCAGTAAAATGATAAAAATCATGTTTATCCTCAAAGTGAGCGCCATGTTCATACAGACACGGTAAAATGCAAAAAAGTCAGAAGGCTCACACATGCATCCAAAGAAGGGTCCATAAACACCTATCATAAATCCACAGCCCTTATACGTCAAAGTCATCTCCAAATGATTTATCCACACTGTGAGACACTATAGGAATAACAAATTACTTTCCTCTATCAGATTATTCGCAAGTGTTGGGGAATCGGAATGAAGTGGTGGAGAGACATATCACAGTGGGATTGCCTTTCTCACAAAATACCCATTTATACATTTGAATCTTATCAAAGGCACAAAAAAGAGAAAACCTCTGCAGAGTTATTGACATTCTCTCCATTTGGACATGAATATATGAATACAAACACTTGGCCACTACACACACAAACACACATTCACTATTACAAGAGTCCCAGGGCTGCAAAATGAGAGAAGAGAGTGTTCTAGGGAGAAAGCTTCCTCATTGGTGTGCAAGGCTGCACATGCTACAACCCTCTCTTATATCCCCGGTGTGTGTGCTAAGTGTGAGTGTGTGTATGTGTGCAAACGCTCTCCCTCTCTCTTTCCTTTACTGCCATTAAAAAGACACAGAGGACCTATTGTGCCCAGGGAAGGAAAATCACTCCATTCTCAGAAAAGACGAGGAATGAACAGCTCTCCAGACCTCTCTTCCCCTCTCCTGCCCCTCCTTCTTTCCGACTTCCATTCACATAGCAGCTGAAATGGCGAAGCTTGTTAAAAAGGAAGCCCGCATGACAGCATTCACAAGCTTTGCTTACCGCAGCATCTATGCTGCTCCCCATGTGCCTTTGCACCAAAAACCATGGACGAAAACAACTCGATACATTCTCTGGAAAAATAATTATGGCACCAAGGGGCCACACAAGCAAACTGGTTGAAAATGGGTCAAAATAGCTTTGAAACTGAACAGCGGAATTGGTGGTTATATAAACTTTAGATCAAATAAGCTATTTTAAGCAGCTGGACACCAGAATGTTAATACAGACGATACAGACGAAGGCTCAAGTCACACAGTTTAGCTGCAAACAACACTATTTCAAACTCAGCCCAGGGAAAGCAGAGTTCCTGACTGATAATACCAGGTTATTGACACAATATGGCATGGAAGACTTGCTGATGTCCCAGTTTTTCAAATGGTGGATGGATATCCAGTCAGCAATAGCACAACAAAAATTAAAAAATCAAAGGTCCCAAAACTGTGTGCTACTTCTGACAGTTTGGCCTTTGTTTGTGTTATCAAATAAAGACTAAAATCATTAACATATCTTCATGAAGGGTCAACTTTCCATTTTTCTTTCAGAAGTAAGCCAGTAAGTAAATGCTAAAAATTGAATTCACTACTGAGATTTGGATTTATTTATTGTGATTAATATGATCAATGTGGTCTAAAAGGGACAAAAAGAAATCCAGTCAATTTGCAAAACAAACGAGCAAAAAAACAACAAACAAACAAACAAAAAAACATATAAATTTCAGCACCTTGGACAGTGACCACCAGACGACCAGTAGTGGAGCAAAACAATCTCCATCTTTAATCTTTTGAAAAAAAAATTAAAACAAGGTCCATCAACCAATATAATTTAGTTGACTGATATTTTTTAAATAGAATTGAATAAAAAAGGAATATTTCTTAAGCAGTTATGTTTATACTTGCTGCACTACCCTCCAATTTAAGTAAAGACACATTTTCACTGCTTATGCACTACAGTTTATCTGTATTCTAGGAGTTCTTCTCAAGTTCTGGATGCTGTAATTATTCATAAGAATTAAAGAATCCACATTATATAGTCCTTTCTTGATGATTATCAATTTATTTTCCAACAATACAATTATTGTATTGTAACATCCTTGCACATTTTTTAATGGAAATGCAGCCCATGTACATATTGTAGTGTAAGGATAGGTAAGGTGGTGGTGATTTTCAGAGGAGGTCACACAGGGATCTTTGACCAATCAAAGAAACAAGGTAGCAGCGGCTATAATTCAACATGAGAAAAAAAAAGCCGTCTCTTTAATCATTAAGAGGCCTACCACATTTCATCAGAGAGAGGAGCTGCTGCAGGGAAGCTCCAATGTTCAGCACACACACACACACACACACACACACACACACACACACACGCATACACAGATAGCCACCAGCCACCATAAAACACAAAAATATTCGCGCACAAACTCAATAAAATTGACCTCAAACTCAGGATGTTGACAAAGTGCTTCAGTGAAAATTTAATGGCACAATCTTGCCGCTCTGTATTGCTCCCCCACATCATACAATACTCTCAGTAAGTTGTACATTTCCAGAGATACTTCATAATGAAATCAAAATAACAAAGATATCCCTACTAAGAACAAAGATTTTACTTTACAACCAGAATTGACCATATTTTTTGTCTTTTCAAACGAACAAATAAGTCTTTTATTTGACATAGAGACTTGATTTGTTAAAATACAGCACTTTAAAAAAGGACATTTTCATTTTGCAGTGAGCATCGTTGATAAAACAGTTGAGTGCAAAGGCACTTTCTGGATAGTAAGATTTGTCTCTTGTTGGGTTTTTGGAAAAGGTCTTTTTTTATGGTTGAACACTTATCATTTATGTGTGTAGCCTAAATATATACAAGAATGTCAATATTTAGTATTTCATCCTCTAATACAAATAGTTGTCTAATTTGTTTACTGTGTTTCTGGAAATCAAATACAGGTTCATGAAAAGCACACAGCCATATTTGTACACAGTCCTGCTCGTGACATACCTGTTTTCAGTCTTTTATAATGTCCTCTTTCAATAAAACAAGAAATAATTTATTCTTTTTGAGCAAAAATAGAACTGCATAATAATATACTTATATTCCTTTTATACATCTTGACAAGAAAAAAGAAGAAGAGAGAAAAAAAGATCACCAAAAGCTTTGGTTAACCTCCAGTTCTTCATGTGGGGTAGAACACAGATAGATCGTATATAGAGGGGGAGTATTATTACAGCAATTGTGTGATTATTATAAATGCTGCACAAAACCTGGAGGGGGCCGTGATTACTATCTTACAGTTGGCTCATCGCAGTCTGTTTCTCCAGGACCTCCAGGTAGTCCGGCTCTGTTTTGATCTTCCCGGGGAGCAGCAGTGCAGGGTGCTCATTGTTTTTGGAAGGGTGGTCAGGCCCAAAGTATTTCCTCGGGGTTCCATACAGCATAGATTTGCTAAACCTGTCCTGGCTGGTTACGTGCCGTCGGGCCGTAGCAGCCTCGTACGGGGGCACAATGCACGGTCTCTTAGGCAACGTGCAAAAGTTGTAAGTGAAAGGAGGCCCACCTGCTACTGCGGGGAGCTCTTTGTCGGGCCTCTCTCCTATGTTTTGATACAGCATCTCAGGAGGCTCTGAGGTGGTCAGACTACACGAGGTCGGGGATTTCTCCATAAAATTGACCGGGCCGATCGTGTAGGCCCCGGGGCTGCGGGAAAGGATGTCGTCCTTCTTCGCATTCAGGGGCCCGAAACTGAGGTCCTTCAAGTTGCGGTAATACGACACCTGCTCTCCGTCCTTCTGCATGTAAATGGGGTTTTGACACATGGAGCCCACAGGCGGAGGGATGTAGTTGTAGACGTGGCTTTCAGAACGTTTGCCTTGGGTCGGTTCGGGGTTGTATGAGCCGTATTGCACTTGAAAAGAGTTGAGATCTAAGTTGTTGGCGCCCGTGGGCACGTGCTCAACCCCTTTTCGCCGCTTCAGCACAAAAACAAAGAGGCCCGCGCCAAAGCAGACTGACAGGATAAAAACAACAAGAAGGCCTAGAATTAGGACCGAGAGCGGGACCTCTGGATGTAACTCCGGTGTGTGTATGTAGGATTCCGTGGGGCTCACTGAGCTAAAGGAAGAGGAAATGGAAGATGAAGAGGTGGATGGGAAATAAGCGGTGGTGGCTTCAGTGCCTGGACTTAATAATGTTGGGGCTCTCGTTGGGGGGGCGTGCTGGGGCGGAGGCCCCTCGGTCGGCTCGGGGCAGATGGCCTCATTTCGAAGGGAACGCAGTAGGCGGCCTGCATGCTTTGAGGGTGAGTCGCAAGTAATTTCGTTGACCACCACGCTGGTGCTGGAAAGCTCCATCCAGTTTTTGAGTGCCACAATGTCACAGGTACAGTCCCAGGGATTCTCCTGCAGGTCGATCTGAATGAACGCTGACAGCTGGTCTAGAACACCCAGAACCGGAAGGTATGAGAAATGATTGTTCCTCAGATTGAGCCGTGTCAGCATGGTGCCCCCGAAAACGTTGTCAGGGAGAGATCTTAAAAGGTTGTTGTTAAGAAAGAGCAACTGGAGGTTGTGCAAAGAATTGAAGGTCTGTGGGAAAATCTCTTTTATGATGTTGTATTCCAAATAGAGGTACTGGAGGGACTGCAGACCAGTGAACAGAGACTGAGAAAGGGACTCGATATAATTCCCATTTAGATACAGACGTCTGAGGTTTGTGAGATTCTCGAATGCACCTTCCTGAATCACTGCAATCCTGTTATTTCCTAAGTGGAGCAGCTCCAGAGAGCTGTACTCAGTCAGATCAGTTCTATAAATCAACTGTAAGTAGTTACCTGTCAGGTGGAGCTTCTTTGGGTATGAGGGCTTAGGGTTCAGCTCACTAATGTTATGTAACTTCCTCTCTTGACAGTTAATGTTAAGTCCACTGTCCGGATTTTGGGATGTGCAAACACAGACACTGGGACAAAGCATGGGAACAGGGGACCTGGTTTGGTAAACCATTATAGGCCCGAAAACATGCCTGTCCTTTGTAATCCGGGGGGTTGGTCTGTAGCGCATTTTGGGAGGGCGGGAAGCTTTAGGAGCGCGGGTGGGGTTGAAGATGACAGGGTGGAAGGTGGGAGGCAGCGCCCCTTGGAAATAAGAGTCGGAGGGGTGGTAAACCCTCTCTCCGGCATTTTTCCGTGGGCACAGGTCCTGCTTTATGAGCTGGGTTATGTCTTTGCCGTGCAGCCTGAAGGGGGTCTCGCACACTATGTCGCCCACGAAGACGGAGATGGTGTCCAGCCAGGACTTGAGGGGGATCAGGTCGCAGGTGCAGTTCCACGGGTTCTCCTCCAGCTGGATCTCCATGATGCCCCCTATGTGCTCCAGCACCCCGGCGAAAGGCAGCGTCTTGAGCCGGTTGCCGCGTAAATCCAAGTGGGTGAGGAGCACAAAGCGGAAAATGTTAGGAGGCAAAGACAGGAGCAGGTTGTCGTTCAGGATCAACACTTTGAGCTTGTTCAGCTTACTGAAAGCGCCCGGCTCTATGACGCTGATGTAATTATAGTCTGCTTGCAAATACTCCAAACTCTCCAGCCCTGCCAGCGTATCCTCCTTTATCACCTCTAGGTTGTTGTTGTTTAGGTGTAGTCGCTTCAGGAAGCGGAGGCCATTAAACGCCCCGGTCCGGATTTCTTGCAAACCGTTATTCCCCAGATGCAGCGACGTGACATTGCCGTAATTGACAAACTCGTTCGAGCCCAGCCTCGACAGGAAGTTTCCATTTAGAAACAGCTGCGAGATCTTATTCGGCGGCGCCAGGAACTGAACGACGGTGGTAAATCCTTTATTCTCGCAGTTGATGTTCAGGATGTTTTCTCGCTCCTCGCAGGCGCAGCGCGTTTTGCAGATGTCTTTAAACGCCGAAGTTTTGCGACTGCCCGTTTCGGATGGTGTCAGACTGGTGACCGTTAGGACGCTCAAAAAAAGGACACCACTCAGCATTTTTACAGCCAAAAATGGTCGCTGAAATATAGATCCAGCATTTAACTTCGTTTGCGCGATCCTTGGATGCAAATAACAATACTCATATATGGAGTGAGTTCTCAGAGTGGAGGGATGAGGGAAAACATAGCAGATGCGCTCACATGCACTTAAAAAGCACACTCACGGGCACACGAGCGCATCGCGAGCATAAGGTATAAAAATCCATGAGGGGCAGGGATTGCGCAAATCTCTCCACTGACCTTCCCTTTGATCACCCAAAAAAATTCGAATACGAAAATCAGTCCGGGGAAAGAAAAATGAGAAACAAAGAAGAATAAGAAAAAAAAAGCCCGGCTCTATTGCAAATCAACTCGATCCTGTACAGCTGATAGGCTTGGCACGTTGACAGAAGCGCGGGGGGAAAAAAAGCCGCTCACTGCGCCTCCGTCCTCCTTCCAGACAGACCCGATTTATTCAGCACCTTCAAGGAGATCACCATCAGCTGTGGCCAAATACTCCAGAGACACACCGATAGGCCAATCACACCCTTTCGTGTCATTAACAAAGAAAACCTCATTTAGTCCAAAGAGGAAAAAGAAAAAGAAAGCCCCAAATGATCGCTTTTTCCCCCCTTCAAATATCCAGAAATAATGCATAGACAGGCATTGTGGCACGCAGCAGCCTTCTCCAAAAACAAGGGGCGAGGTCAGTGGATGTCGGCAGTAGAAAAGAGGGGAAAAAGCCCGCGATGATAGAAATGATGGAGAAGGGACCCCGCGGGAGGCGACGCACATCCCCGGAGCTGAGGCGTAACGGCCGTCTGTGCCATCATCCTCCTCCGCTCCTCACACTGAGCGCAGTCCCCAACGCCTGATTCTGCACGACTGCCCGGGTCCGTGTGTGAGACTGACTGAGAGGAAAATGAGAGAGAGAGAGAGAGAGAGAGTTAGAAAGAGAGAAAGAGAGAGAAAAGAGCCCCAGAACCCTTACGTCATCAACACTGTCAACAAGATCAAGCACCCACCAGGAGACACATGTGCGGGGTCCTTAGATATTATCAGGCTAAAATATAACCCGTTCTCAACTAGAGAGAGGTTATAACTGCTGGATTGTTTTTCTTCTTCTTAAATATCTCCAAACCGTCTAACTGCCTCACCTGCAACCTCATTCTGTCTGATTTCCGAATACGGAAATGTTACATTTGGCAACCTCTTAAAGCTTCAAACTCCGGGCAACGGGATCACAAAGGTTTGGTCACTGAAGGGAATTTCAGTGAATGCCTCTCTGATTAAACCTATAATTAAACCTATAATATACCAAAATGCTCACCAAGAAGAATTAATCCACGAAAAATCTCCAGATCAGCAAAACTGAGCGTATCCTCGAGTGTATCCCCATGAAGTGATGCGCCTGAAAAGATTGAGGTTTAAATGACTGTAAAAAGACAATGATACACAAACAAGCTGATAATATGTCTGTGACTCTTGTAATTGAGTTTATACAGATATACATGGCAATTCCTGCCACTTGTGTTGTTAATTTCACTCCAGACACCACTAGGAGGCATAAAACGCTCAGGGTGATTATTCTCTCGCTGAGGATTTTTTTTTTCTTTTTCAGAGTTTATCTCCCACTCTCACACTGGAGCCCTCTGACTTGTCAGCTTGTTGATATATGATTATTACCACAAAAAAGAAAAAAGAGGATCACTTATCTTCTGCTCCCAGGCAACATGAGACCATGAAAGAATGAATCCTGATTACACTATAATAACAGAAGAGTGAATACAGACAAATAAAGACAGAATAGTTCTTATGCATTTTAATACTGTAAATATACAGTGCACTTACAGAGCATTTAATAAGGAATTGTTTAAAGTGGCCTTTTTGGGGGAATCCTACTGTTATAGAGTAAGTATTATTCACATGCTCACCTAGTCATTTACAAATTTGGTATGAAAATAACTTTTTGGGTCCTCACATCACATACATGAAAAATATCTCTGAGCTTTTGCTTAGCTACTACTTTACTATATATATATATATATATATATATATATAGAGAGAGATTGAAATTAGATAGCCCATAGCTCAGAAATATTAAATAGCTCTATTTTGAGAGTGAAGTTCTCAAAACGGAAAATTTCACACTCATTCTTCATCTTTAAATGTGGTCCGAACAGTTTCTAAAATAATTGAAAGCAGCGGTTATTAGTTGGGGTTCAGGTAACACACACTGCCCCAACCTTTAGCCATTAATAAATAAAAGCTTTGCAGAAAAGGAGCGTTCTGAGCCTGATGTTAAAGTGACCCTGAAGCATCGAATTGTTATGCTGTTATAGGCATAGAGTACTCACTTTGATCACTTTCATCACTTTGTTCCTTTCACTCTATGTACATGTAACTATATTGTTGTCATTAGCTTGTATTTCTCTTTCTCAGTAGATATCTCCAGGCTGCTGTTTTCATTTTTCCTCTCATTCTCTCACACTCAACTCATCGAGGGAGATGACTAAGCTCTCTTAGTTCTGCCAGAGGTGTCTTCCTGTTAAAGGGGCGTATTTTGGGGTTAATTGAATGGTGCGTCTCTTTATCTCCAAGCGTTCCCAACTTTAGAGACACAAATACACCCCGATGCACAAAGAAATGTGTAACATTGAGCTCATACTTTAATGACAGAGCTTAGCCATCACTTGCAGATGACATAATTAACTGTTTTCGCAGACAGTAATTTCTGGAATTTTCTTCTTCGTCTGCACAATTGTCATCATTACAAAGGCAGCGCCACATAAAGGTAAAAAATCCTGTTTATTATTATAAGACTTAATATGGTGTGCATTTAAAAAAAATTCTTAAACAAAATATTGGCTTTTGAGTTTGCCTTTAGTTATTTTTCTTCTCACCATTTTTCTAAAGTAAAATGTATAATATTACCAAGATATCTCAAACATTACAAACCTGTGTAAAAACCTGATAACACTGTTTCTGAATCTGTTCACTTTGAAGCATAGCTCTACTAAAGAAACGTGATTGGAATTGGATATTATTTAGTAAACACTGGCAAGTTTTAATATTCTTTCCAGTGCTCCAAAAGTTTAAAATTCTTCTGACTTCAATAGTCAATAGTCCTTTAATGACTTGAGCTCCCTTTTACGAAACAGCAATATAATGGCAGGACTTCTTTGTGATTTGTGAGCAGTACTTTACCTCATTCCTTCTAAGTCAGATACCAGTTGAAAGCATGTGGGACACAGCAGCTGCGACACCTGCAATGGACTTGAGTAATGACTAATATCTGGACTTGAGCAATGAGTGATATCTGGACTTGAGCAATGAGTGATATCTGTGACAGCAGATCAGTCATAAATATGCAAAGATGAGGTCAGACTCATACAGAACCACTCACTTTGGTTATATTTCCCTTTGAATAAGTTAAACAGAAGCTAAAGGAACAATACAGTAAAAGCTATAGGAGTCCTGTCACACAACAACCTCCAATCTCATTATTGTATCTTAATGATATTAGAGGGGATACTGATGATAGAGAGAGGTGCATATCATGATGAATGCGACAACCGGGCTTTTCTTTGTTTACTTTTTTATTGAGACTGATGGGTAGCTTAGATTTATGCTGTGACTTATGGGATGAGTAAGTGCTAAAGGGAAAAGTCTGCACGTTTCCACATGAGGCACGCTGGGTATTTGTCAGAGCACAGCTCCAAAGCACATTTGTCAAGTCAATCATAGGCCACAAAGGATGACAGTAGCCTGTCTGAGTTTTTCTCTGTCAGTTGAGGAAGAGGAAGTAGAGGCTAAAAGAAAGTAAACAACATGAAAGAATTCTTTGTGAGTCTTTGTGTGAAATATAGCGGATCATTCCGCTATGTCCGTAAATGTCGAGAAAAGGAGAGTTCATTGCAGCAAAAGCTAAAGAAGCTCTCGAAATAGTTGTTAGGGCAGCTTCCATGGGCAACTTCCCTTTTGAGTTCACTTGTATCGAGCAAGACTTTCACTGTTGGAGACTGCGAGGCCGTTCAGAAGCTAGGAGAACCCACTGGGTCAAAAGAAGTCAAAGTTTCAGCTTCTTGAAAGTTTGAATGCAAAAATAATACGTGTAATAATTCATGCCCTACAAAACAACAGACAAAATCTTCAGTGTCCTGTAGAACAGGTTGGGAAGCCAAACTGCAATTGACATTGAGATAGTTGAGGAGCTCCACATACTTCCAGTTGTCAAAAGTCACCAGCCCAAGATAATTGTTGAGGTAATCCAAGCTGTTGAGTAGGCCCTTGAAGACTTGAGTGACCGTGGTCATGCTGGAGCTTATAGGAATCTATTGGTGACAAAAGTCAATTGAAATCAGGTCTCCTAATGCATTGGATGGTTAGAATAGCTACTCCATACAACTCTATGATGCAAGTGAGAGGCACAGGGCTGAACCGGAGAAGCACTTTGACAGTTTTCTGACCTTACTCAAGAGTCAAGAGAGAAGAATTAACAGACCAAGTAAGGGATGAGGACTGCCAAGGAATGAAATCGGACCTGAATAAAAGAAAGCAGAACCGGGTAGAATGTAGTTATATCTTAGGCTGTATCGTCTGTGAGGATAAAGAGAAATTACAAAGAGGCCAATGAAGAATTATTCAGAAAGCTCTCACCTGAATTAGGCCAACAATGCAAAGACACATTCTGTAACACAGCTAAATGTCTTTCCCATGTTGCAAAGAGTCATTCAAGTCTTCCGGTAGACAACGACCTAGAGGAGGGGCCAGTCGTCTTGATGATTTTGGAGGTACCAAGATTTGTGACCTGATTGACCTAGCCTCGGAAAACAATTATAATACTCACGAAGCAGCTTGTCGGTTCTCAGAAGTGAAGAGGTCACATGTGGTACATGATATGGGAGGTATGAAATAAATAAAAAAACTGTTTTGGTGCTGGCTGTGTCCCGCGATGTAGGGAATGCCATTGTG